ACACCACTAATTTTTTATATTTTAGATCAAATCTGAAAAAAGACGAGCTGTCAGAATGTCTCTGTCCTCACGTTTCCCTCCAAATACAGTTTGCATGTAGAGCTTTGCGTATACTGAACTACTCCCATTGTGTTACTGTCAATGTTTGAATGCTACAAACCATTCCCTGTGCACTGATGGCTCTCTGTATGCCTCGTACATCAATTCAGGATGTGCATATGCATATGTGTGTGTCACTCTCTCTGAATGAACAATAACTAAAAATCCCCTTAACTCATGCTGCTCTCTCTGTCTGCCACCATCTGTCTCAACTCAATCTCCCAATTTCACTTCCAGATGCAGCGATGCCGGATTTGGGTGTCCATCTACAAGCTCTCTAATTCCCACTTGTCACTTTGTCAGATTCAATGCTGGGGTTTCTTGTCATAGCTGTCAGTGCACAGCAGCCTCATATCTCACTCATTTCTTCCACACGACAGGGGCGTATGTGCCTTGGAGATTAATGCGTTACACCTTCACTTTCTATATCATTTTTGCCTCGCCTCGAAGGTCAGAGGTGCAAAAGCAGAGCACAAGCAACGTTTGTGCCATTTTACCGCAGCAGAGCACTTGATGGCCAAAACGGAAATGCCAAAAGTTTGTGTAACATGTTCATTAAAGTTTAAAAGAAAGAAATTCTACTTTCAAATATATAATATATAGTTTATACATGCTCTGTGAGATTGAACTTTTATATCTCAAGAGTTTCACCTGAGTGGTGGTCGGCCTGTTATCGTAGTAAAAACACATGAACTACTGTGCAAGTATAATTGACACCCACATGAGCAGTGATATAAAGTTTTAGCTCTCTGTTCATTCGTTTAAATAAAGACTGCTGTTGTAAGCCCAGCGTAAGTGGCCAGAGATGCTGCGGTCAAGTGGTCAGACTTTTTTTCTAGGACTGCGATGGCACCCAGAGCTTAAATTTATCTCAGGGATAGTCCAGCAGTTATTTTGGAGCATGCTTGTATTAGCGACAGCCAGGTTTGATAATATCAGTAAAATCATGACCATCATTATTTTACCTGATCGACTTCCAAAAGCAGACATTCCTCAACTAATGAGGAATGCCAAATATCTCATTTGCTATGAAGTGAACACAAATTAAACTAAACAGCTGGAGGCTTTGGACATTAAATGACAGATTTTAAACATGAAGACGAAACAGTGAGAGATGTTAAAATGAGAAGTGTGCAGCTTAGAAACTGCTAGGGTCAGCATAAACACCAAGTTAATGCACAGCTTGTCAAGAACCCCAAATGCAAAAATGCACACGGCTAATCTAACTTGCAGCAAGAAAGCAAATACGCCAACTTTCGAGCATGCCAGTTACGGGCAGAGACTAGTATAATAATCAGTTTAGAAGCTTACAAGGACAAACTGAAACAGGATCAAAACATTTACTGACCTTATAATAATAATAAGCTGTTATAACAATAGCAGCAGTTAACCTTAAATGATGCTAGTTTTGGCTGTAATAAATGGCAGCATGAATCATACAGGACACATTTACCATGGAAACAGCCTCCTGTGCTACGTGCATGCAGCAGCATTAATGAACCTATCACAGTGAGAACGTGAATTAAAACCAGCCAACTGCAAAGCTGAATGAGAATTTTTGCATATTGACACATTGCCAGAGGATAACAGGCTGGTGGGAAATCAATACTGTCACCAGATTCAGGAAGCCACTCACACTGCTTCCTCTTTCTGTTTGTTGTTTGCTGGTTCTAACATACAGCAGGACATCAGTTAGGAGGGTTCGTGGTGGATGCTTCACCAGCAGTGTTGGTCAAGTTACTTGAAAAAAGTAATCAGTAACTAATTACTGATTATTTCCCCCAAAAAGTAATCCTGCTACTTTACTGATTACTTATTTTCAAAAGTAATTAATTACTTCGTTACTTTTTAAAAACACGATTTACAACCTGAATAGGTAATAAAGCCCTATTCTACTTTTTCTGCATAATCCATCATACAAAATGTAATCAAATGGAAAAGTCTCTTTTTTTTAAACTTGTTTTATCAGTTTTAATCTTTTAACTTTATTCATCAAGCAAAAATTAAATTATATGCACCATTCTCTGACTTGAAGAAATTAGTTTAATGTTTAAACCTATTTTCTGCACATTCCAGCACATACAATAAAATATTTTTTGTGTTTACACTCACTCTTTCAAATACAAATACATGCAAGTAAAACACAGCAGAAAATAAATAAAATCAAAGACTCAGCAGTCCTGTTGCTCTATTTTCACCTGCATAGCAAGCGGAGGTTTGCCCTGGTGCAGGTGTGCTGCAGCGGTCAGTTGAAGAATCTGCGCACTCGGGGCTTGCTCGGAAGTTCAGGGGTTTTTTCACTGTAAAAAGAAGTTTTCTTCCCACGCAGTGAGCAGCGGACGCTAATGTTTTTGTCACTTTTTATGGAATCAAACTCAAAGTAAGGTTAGTACTTCCACGCTTTAAATGCTGCACGCTCATACTCTCTCCCGCACTCGATATATGATCCATTGTTGATCTGCACACAGCTGTTGTCACGAACGTCGCACTCGCTTACGTCATTGTCATGAGACACTCTCGCAAAAAATAAATAAATCATGGTTTTCGTAACGTAGTAATGCAGCGTACTTATGGGAAAGTAACAGTAATCTAATTACCTTTTTTGCAATAGTAATCCCTTACTTTACTCGTTACTTGAAAAAAGTAATCAGATTACATCTCTGTTCACCAGCCACCAATTTTATATTCATGTTTGTCCACACTCATGTGAAACTTTAAAAGGAAATTAATTTAAAAAAAGAATCAAATAAAATGTTTTGCCAAGAAATATCTACTTCAGAAGATAAACTTGGGGATGTTGCTACAATGATTTGTAAAACTTGGATTATTGACACACATCTTCAACTTGGCAACCCAGTAGATCGATATAACAATCACCACTTAAAAGTGGGGATGCTAGATTCATAACACCACTTCAATACACATGGTCACAATCTCACCCCCTGTTTCTCAGATAAGATTCTGATTTATGTGAGATGTGTTTTTGCAGATTCAGATGAACTCGAAGAAATTCCCTAAAGACCTGACCGAAAGTTTAAAAGAATGGCATTTTTGCACGTACAACTGATGGAATTTGCTTGCCCAATAGTTAAAAATATATCATTTAAACTCATTGAAATGATCATTTTAAGCCAATTAGTCTGAGCAAATGTTTCTAATATTCGTACCATTGTACAGCAATGTTGACAGACCAAGCAGTTAATCAACTGAAAAAAATATCTAAGACTCTTTAATTACAGGAAACCTTCTGAGCAGCACTCCATTACTAAATACTAAACATAAAGTTTAAAACTAATGTACAGCATGAGAAGAATGATTCAAATTCCTGCTTTCATAATTACACCAGGCAATTCATACTTCTTATTCCACAGAAGCAGGTTTTCAATTTCCAATATATGATTTCAGTTAAATGTAGTAAACAATTTAACTTGGCCATAAGTAGGTCATATTAAATTCTGCAGTAAATTGGGAGTTTAAATTGGTGCTATACAGATACATGGCTGGGGTTCAGCAATAAATAAATTCGTGCCTTATCATATGAACCCTCACGCACTCACTGTCATTCGGTCTAATATCTGTTTGATATTGATCAGAGAAAGGGTGTTTAGATCCACCTATCTATCGTCTGGAGCTGGTATCACAAAGCTACAGGAAGCTAGGACTCAGATCAGCAAGTTTAGTCATTACTATCCAAAGTACAGTAGAGCTAGAAGAAAACAATGGATGGAGTATGTAAAACTTAGAAACACTCATATGGAAAAACACATTAGCACAACAGTGAGCAGTGTTGCATAAAATCTCAACAAACTGCTGCATAGCCTGGATGCTGTGGCCTTGTACCTTAGCAGGGCTCAGGTTCAGGATAGTTTCTGAACAAACAATAACAATAACAATTCATATACCACAAGTATAAGATATGATAACCTCCTTTTCTCGAGTGCCGCCTCTTTTTTTTTTTTTATTATTCTTTTTTAGTGTTTTATGAACATTTCTTAAATAAGATATAATGTAAAGGATTCCGAGCATTGGTTGCAAATGTCTACAAAGAGTTTAGAGTAATTCCAGTGGACAAATTGGCTGGTTGGAAAGTAAATGGACAGTTTTACGAGGGGAATTCTGAAAGGCCTGAAGCAGTATTTTAAAAGGAAAAGGCTTAGCATAAATAAGTTTTTTATATTTATTTCACCACTATGATAAAACCCCTTACTTTGCATTTGTGTAAGAATACATAGCTGTGAGTAGCTGCTACTCACAGCTAACTATTTCTATGTGAAATGTTATTTGTTTTACTGTTACCGTTTTTAATTACAAAACTTTAAAGTTTAAATCAACAAACTTATTTATGCATATTCTATGAATTTCTATTTAATTTATGATGTTTCAGGTAGAGACGACTCAAGTGTCTCATTCTGACCCACACCTGCGACACTAACAACAAATTCGATGTAAATATGAATTTACATCGAGAACACTTTATGTTACATTTCACTAGCTGGGACCACATCCTTGGTAACGATGGGCGATGAGGAAATGTGAACTGGTGCTGTGGTTTGGGGGAAGGCCTCGAAGGGGACTGGCAACGGCTCCCGGGCCGGGCAGATCCCCATGTATTAACGAGAAGTGAATGAAGGAAAGGAAGAGAGGAGAAGAGAGAGAAAATTGGGGGAAGGGTGGGGCATGAAAATGAGAACAGCAGGTATTGGTGAAGGGGGGCTTTTATAGCCTGAGTCTGGAGGGGGCGTGAAGGAGGAGTGGTCCTGCTCCTGAAATTAAGATGATATCTCCACTAAGCAGATAAGCAGCATGTAACCCCTGAACTACAGGGTCTGTTACAGCAGTGTCTATAGAGCTGATTTTGTCTGTTTACAGTAAAAGAAGCTTTAAAACAAAGAGTGTCATACGTTGTAGAGGGGGATGCTCTTCATGGGTTTGTACTGCTTCAGGGGGTCCATCTTGTACAGGTGGCGGTCAGTGATGAGCACAGCCCGGTTCTCCGACTTGTGGAAACGGTTGATCTGGGAAACACAAAGCTCCTCATTAGTGACACCACGGGATACAGTAGGTGCACACAAACACGGTGACATTTACACACCCTGCAGGGAAATGTTGTGAGCCATCAGCAGCTGGGTTTATGTCTTTGTACACACAGACACGTGTTGTGAGTGTGTGCACATGTGGTAAAGTCATGGATATCTGCTCTGAAAAGCTTTTACCTTGCGTACGTTGCAGGAGAACAGGACTCTCATGAATTTGTCTTTCCGCTGCAGATCGCTTGAGACCAGTGTGAACGATGCTGCCGTGTCTGGGCTGTCTCGCTTCTGTCAGACACACACACCACAAGAAACTTATCAAAATATTCCAGTTTAACTCGAATTAATTTACAACCTGCCCGAGTTAAGATGAGCTTATAAATATCCTATTTATGCATGCATTTTATTGGTTTAATGAACGTATTATCTCACAATGAAAATGTTTTCATTGCAGGAGTTTTAAATGAATAAATTGTTTGAATCATATATAATTAACCTAAAGACAGCCACAACATCCACTGACAAAAAACCCTGGCTTAATTGGGTACATTCCTTCAGTCCAGTATTCACACTCTATGGTAATTACTATTTACTGGGAAAACAGCTGAGCCAACATTACATTGTTAAGATGCTTATCTTCTTATGTCTTCTAATGTCCACCGGGTGTAATTGAGGTCTGTAAAATAAATGCGAGGTGTAAAACTGCTTCCCTTCTTTTTAGGCTTATTTTCCATTCATATCACACTGTTTGTTTCTTGTCTTGCTTGATACTTTCTTTAATAAATCTGCTCAAAGAATGAGACTAAACACTTTTCCTTTGTTTTTAACTGGAAGGTTTCTCTATAGAGTGCATATAAAAGTTAGACAAGGCCACCATATCATCACTTATTGGTTCGTGGTCTACAACTTTGAAACTTTGAAATGAAATAGGATGTCATGAGCGATGATCAGACTGATTAATACCTGAATCCAAAAGAAAATAAACCAGGGTTTTAAGTTCAGATGCAGGCAGTATTATTAAACATTGTCTGATTGAAGAGTCAGCAAACAATGAATGAATTAAATCACATGTTTAATACCAGCAGGGTACTCTATTTTTCAGCATTTTATGCTACAAACTGCACAGCATTGAGGTTCAATAACTACGTCTGATCTGGATTTCAGCCACAGAGAAACAGCAGCTGATGCAAGCTGCAGGAGACAAAGCCTGCATGAACAAAGCTAGCATGGCCAATTTCACTCTGTAAAATATGTCTTTTTCATGACTGGACTCATGCTACCCCTCCTACTCACCAGATAGTTTCCTTCCCAGGCCCGTTGCAGCCCCAAATCAGCCCTCTGGCCCTTCAGGGCCTCCAGGCCGGCTACCTTGGCCCTCACCTGCAGGGTCTCCTCTGGAGATAAGCCTTTGATCAGTGTCCATGCCCACCACCTGGAGATAAACGCATCCAAAAACACACACACAGAGCAAACTTAGAACGGAGGAAAATCGAACTTTCTATATAAAGGATGCTGCACAGAGCCTTGTTACTGTAGTCGGGTCAGTGGGGTGTTGCAGCAGGACTGCAGTCGACCCCGTCTTCACTGTACTGTATTTACTGACAGCCAACATAATTCTCTAGGAGGGTTATTTTCTCACTGTGTCCGGCTTCAAATAGAAAAAAGGCAAACAAACAGACAATGGGATGAAAGGAAGTGATGAGCCTTTGATGGAGAAAGAAAAATCAATGCCCAGTGTGAGCCCAAGGCAGAAGGAAACATGTGTAAGTTGCTTCAAAAAGACTCATCTGGATGTAAAATAACACTGGAGGGCATGTGTTGTCTCCTGTGGTTGGAGTCAGATTTACTTTTAGTTCAGCCAATTTAGGAAAGCGATTTTCTTCAAAAGAGAACAATTTAAAAACATTTTGTTTGAATAAGGTTCAGCTTCTGTTTCTGTTCTGAACGTATAATACAACAACAGTTGGTCATCATTAAAAGCTGATATTTGCTTCTACAAGTTTAACAGTTCATTTACTCTTTTAAACTTTAATTTCGTCCTGTGGTTTGTTTCTTTTCACAGAGAAAACAAAGAAAGCAAACTTAAAGTGAACCATAAGCCTTATAAGAATGTTCTGTCTGCCTGTTGGCTAGATGTGTTCGGGGCAGGAGCAACAAAAGTCAATACAGGAAGAAGGTGCTGTATTCAGAAATAGTGGATAACAAGGAGAATTTACTCCTAACATTCATATTTGTTTATGGTGAGAATGTGATCCCACCTCGATCTGCCACATGGACGCTGCAAGTCTGAGCTAAAGATCTCTCAATAGCCACGTATGCTTTGAATTCTGGGAGTACACAAACTCTAAAATAAATGTTAGGTGTGCAGATTAAACAAACTGTACCAACTAGCTATAAAATTAACCAAGCCCTCACCTATATCCTCTACTTATAAACCCAGCCCTAGACACATTTGGCCAACAAGTAGGTTAAATGCTCTCACATGGTTTACAAAGATGGATTCTGGTTTGCTTGTAGTTTTTTCTTTGCGAAAACAAAACAACAGGGAAAAGTTACAACTCTGCAGTCTAATCAATTATTCCAGACTAGAATAAACCAATTATAGGAGTAGAAACACACTTACATACATGATGGGCCTGTTTAAAAATCTATCTCGATGTTTTCTTGTGGAGTACCTGCTATGGATGCTCTTGAGCGCCTCTTCAAACCTGCGCAGAACCTTGGGGGGCGTGGGCCACTTCACGTGCCTGCCATGATCCTTCATGGATCGCACGTTTTTGAAGCGACGGTTGACCTCACGGATGTAAGACTTGACCTTGTAGCGTCGGTAGGCCTGCAGGATGGTGAGGGCAGCTCGCATGCGTCTGTACCGCATTCTGGCTATAGTTCCTCTCCACACCTGAAGACAAGGGTTCACATAAAGAATACATAGATATAATTTTATTGCAATTACAGAACAGATCTCCACATAGAAAGTACTTTTAAATGCTTTATGGCAATCCTCACTCTGGGTTTTATGGCTTATTATTGCCTCTCTTTCTGCTCATAATGCAAAATGATATTTTGATAACTTTGCAAGGAAACTCCATCATTTGGGATGACAGGCCAAGTCTGCCTTTCATAGAAAATCCAATCCATCTCTATAGTGAGCTAATAAAAACCTTCACATCTGATTTAAAACTACATACTGTATGTTACAAACATAGTCTGGCTGAAACTGCTGTAAAAATGAAGGAATTCTTCACAGTAGTGTAACAGTGGGCTGTTTTTATGGCTGAGTGGTGTGGATTCCTGTGTTTGGCTGAGAACAGTGTAAAGGTTTAACTAGCAATGGGCCAGACACTCCAGCATTGATTAACCAGTTGTAGCCAGAGCTCATCTGCAGAGTACTAGTTAAAATGTTCAATACAGCAGCCTTTTTGTAACCATGGTTTAAAGGAGCAATGGAATAGGGACAAAATTAACTTCTACATAAACAAGAACCTGAATTCAGGATGCGTGGCTGTAGCTGCACATTTTAAAGTGATAAACTGTTTATGGAGACTACGGCGCAAACACTGAAATTACTCTGCATTACCAACCACACTTTAAGCCACACCTTTTCACACTGTTTTTCGAATATGTAAACTAAACCAACAAACGTAAAGTAATACTGTGATGTATTTTGATTTATTTCTGTATAGTGTGAGTGCAATCCCAAAAGTAAGGTTTCCAAAGCGGTGGGGATGTAGAGAAACTGTTCATACGGCTGTTCGTCACACTGTTGTGATTGGTGCTTCCTCCACTCTCAAACAAGCTTGCTCGGCTTCACTTGGATGCTTGTTTGGGGTTGGCAGATGTTGAAAATGGAGCTCCCGTTTTCAAGGGCGAAATGTGCGCAGTTATTAGATTTTTGAACGCAAAAGGCGTTAAACTGTTTTGTAAGTGGTGTAGAGAGTTTACAGCAGTACGAAGAGGTAAAAGATGAGGTTCAACGCTTCCTGAAGGACATGGCGGCGAGCTGGTACGACATCATGGGCATTGTAAAACTGGAACAGCGCCTACAAATATGCATCAACTGACATGATGATGATTACGTAGAAAAAGAAATAATTCAACCTTTAAAATGATGTAAATATTATAGAAAATAAACAGTTTTTGCATTTCTAAAAAAAAAAAAAAAAATAGATCTTACTTTTGGGATTGCCCTCATATATCCAGGTTCCTCCAGGTTTTTCCTAAATGACTTTTTACTGACTGTATACTGGTTATATATTTAAAATAAACGTCAAACAAACAAACAAACCTATGACTGACAGTAGTGTATATACTCTATACTCTATCAAATGACACATCAAACTGAACTATACTTTAAATCAGCATTGGTTTTCTTATAGTTTAGTACTACACAGAACAAAGAGACTCAGACAGCAGTGATGTTGCTTCACCAGAACCACAGGAACAAAACATTTTTAAATTGTGGAGCAGAAACAAGCAATTGTGTCAAAAATGTACCTGAAACCAATATTAATAATTTAATAACAATAAAGTAAAATGAAAAACAAGCAGGGAACTGTCAGAAAGAATATGGAAAACAGCCCCCCCGCCTTTTCGATCAGCAGACCTGCAGTTTCACTGCAGTTACTTTAAACCCTCTTGTATCAGAGACCACATCAGGGATCCTGCTGTACCCTCAGACAAACACTGACACACGTTATCAATAATTTAAAACGCTGTCCAAAGCTTCAACTTCGAATGACCTAAAGTGGCCTTCATGTGAAGAAACAACTTCCAACATTTTGCCCTTTTATGGATTGCAGCAGGTTGCCTAGCTCATGAATCTATGATAAAAATGAACCGTAAACACATGCAACCTACTGCACTTAAATATGAATCATGAGGTCTTCATAGCAGCATTAAATTCACTTAAATACCGCTATAGTAGCTAATATATAAGCACATATTTCAAAGTGTCAAAGCACCATGTTTTTAAATTAATAATTTTGTTGTGACTCACCATTACAACTCATTAAATCTCTCATTTGTTATACATTTCTCACTGCAATGTTTAAACAGCCTTTATTCAGTCTAAAGAAGCTAAAATAAGGACCTGCCTGTAACCAAACATAGACTGAGTGGCTATTAGACACTCGAGAACATGAATAATAGATGTAAGTGGGACCCCAGAGAACCATAACTCTAAACTCGGCCTCACTAAAATCGCCACCATATGTCCTCCTTTCGCTGTATTCCCTCCCTCTTATAGACACATACACAGGCATGCATGAAGCCTCTCAGTTTATTCCAGATTTAAGTGGCTACATTGTGTCTAAATAATCTTTCATCGCCAGTAATCCAGTGTCACAGACCTACAAATTTAAGGCAACACTGCAGACTGCACTGGAGGCTCTCTAGCAGATATCATCTGAGTGTAATGCGCAGTAATCATAGATATCATGAATATTTAATGGTTTCAAAGTGTGGGGGAGGCCGGTGGCAAAGAAAAGGATTTGTTGCATTTGCATATTAAAACTGTGGAGGTGGTAGTTTTCACCTGATGAGACTAACAAATGCCAGAGAGGAAGATAAGTCATGCACTGCTGGACTGCAGCAGAATAATTAACCGCACCAGCTGAAAATTGTTTTATATCTAGTGAAACATTTTCACTTTTTAACTAAAGCATGTAGAGAATGGTCTAGCTTAGAGTGCTGACTTAACCACGTCATTACTTACAAAGTGGAAAGAGGGTAGTTATGAGCAGAAGCTGAATCACATTTGGATCAATGAGGGAAAGCTAGCATGTTATGTAATGACCACAGTGGCTTGATCACACTCTCTTTGTTTAAAAAAAGGGGGTTTAATTTGTATTTTTGATCCTCCAAAGTTTATGCAGTTGTACATTATGCCCATTAAGCTGAGATCGGCTGTAGTTAGCTAGAAAAAACGGAATAATCAGCTCCCCAGATGTTACTGTAAATGATGTATGTTCAAGTATACTGAGCTGGTTCCTGTCCACAGCAGATCTGATTCTTTATATGGCTGTGTTAATTATTACAGTGTAGCTTTGATAAATGCCATGCCCCATATCAAAGCTATTCTTAGTCCAAACTATTGTGATGCAAAGTTTGTAGGTTTTATGTCTCTGCTGTTGAAATTCAAATTTCCATCCACAGATGTCGTTAAAGAGAAACACAACATCGTCTTAAAGCTGCAAAACTGGATTACTTTTCCAAAACAGCTCAAGAAAATTGATCCAAAAGGGGGGGAAAATAGCAGTCTTTATCTTTTGACACTTGTGTTACATAAACGTCAAACGATAAGAGCAAACAGTTTTCCTCTAATGCTGTGTCATTTTATGGCTTAAAACCGTATCCTCTGTTTTCTCCATGCTGCACTGTCTTTAATACATAATGCATGAGAGTGAGAAAAGGAGGGCAGCTACATAGTCATCACTAATCGACCCCTGAGAGGAATCGCCCACGTGCTCGGGGTGACGGTGGTGGGAGGAATGAATGGGCTTCAGTGACGGCGGCTTCCTCGCGTCTCTGTGAATGAGGTTAACAGTTGCTTTCGTCTGAATTCTGAAGGGGCTCAGAGTGTTACGGTGAATTAGGCAAAGTTTCAGGAGTGGGCACTGGGTCAGACATTACTGTCAAAACGTCCCTGGTGTGAATGCAAACCAAACTATGTGCATTTAAATCAGAATTACCACCTGACGACAATATCTTACCCTCTTTATATAATGTTTATTTCTTCACCAACAAGAGGCTAGAAAACGGCTTTTCATGTTGAAACTCATTTTTCATGGATGCCAGGATTGGCTCATTTCCACTTCAGTTGTGTGCTGCTTTTTGACTATTGCAAAGATTTAATTTGAACAAAAGCAATTATTAATTCATTTACAACTTTTGTTAGAACTACATTTGCTTGTACTGGTTTGTCTTTATGTGAGATGAGGTTTGCCTTGTCGTGCACAGCAAAACTGAAAAATAAATACTGAATAGCTACACAGTATCCTCCGCTGTAATTATGTTTAGACTTTATAATAGCAGTCAACAGCTTAAAACATCATCTTTATATTCTTTGTTTACTGTCATCTATAGCTGCTGTATGGCAAGATTTCTTATTTATGTTGTAATCTATTAGTGCATGATTATAATTACAGTTCAACATTATATTAAATACTAATTCACTCTAGATAACATTAGTCAAGAGAATTCTGTTGTTTCCATCTGCAATAATTCATTTATTGCATTATGGCTCTGTTCCAGGACCATCGACCTATTCTATGGAAAGGGGCAATGAGGGATTTATGGTGCCATGGGTTTGCAACCTACATAGATGTTTGTGTGCAGTTGGCTGAAATGTGTGTCGAAACAGGAAAGGAAAGAGTGCACAGTTCACCATGTAGAAGGAAGAGCTCAGTCAGACCTATAAGTGGAGACTTAACATCGTTTTTAACACTTTAGCTCTTTGTATAAAACTTAGATTTTCTCTGCAGCTAGCTGGAGCAACAATAGCACAGGAGTAGATCACAGACAGACTGTTTATTTGGTCTACTAAACTGTCACCCTGGTGACAGAAAACAGCCACAACCGCCTTCAAAGCCATGCATAGGCTCTCCACACGCCTTATTTAAGCCCCAAGGTTGTGAAAGCAACAGAAGTGGGCCATTACTGTCGCTATTCTCCTCCACCTCTTGAGTTGTGTAACCTGTGTCACTAGAGCCACAACCAGATTAAAGGCATGAGTGTATGATTGTGTTGTTTCTTTAACCTCCATTTTAATGATCTATCAAATCAGATGCTCACTGATTCATAGATTACGCAAAAGGAGATGTTAGAACAGTTTAAAAAGATGAGACTTTCTAAATGACCAGTGCAGTTGGTATACTGAGCTCTTAAGGCGGACAGCATGAA